TTAATGTATAATCTTGTACGAACTGAGCTTCTACATGACACACTTTAATGCATAATATTGTACGAACTGAGCTTCTACATGACACACTTTAATGTATAATATTAAATTAACTGAGCTTCTACATGACACACTTTCATGTATAATATTGTACGAACTGAGCATCTACATGACACTTAATGTATAATCTTGTACGAACTGAGCTTCTACATGACACACTTTAATGTATAATATTGTACGAACTGAGCTTCTACATGACACACTTTAATGTATAATATTGTACGAACTGAGCTTCTACATGACACACTTTAATGTATAATATTGTACGAACTGAGCTTCTACATGACACACTTTAATGTATAATATTGTACGAACTGAGCTTCTACATGACACACTTTAATGTATAATATTGAATTAACTGAGATTCTACATGACACTTAATGTATAATGCATGACACTTGATGCATTAGTGTGACAATGGTATAATACTGAACCAAATGAACTTCTGTATAAAAACTTTAATGAAAGTATTTGATGGTGTCACATTTAACTATCTGAACTCTCACAGTTGGTTCAGAGTAAGGATGCTGCTTAACAACATTGTTATTTTTGAACCACAATTACCCATAGATACACATATATCTTACCTGACTTATTTTGTTCAGATGGGTTATGAGCATCTACCAGGAGTCCAAACTGGGATGCCAGTTCTGAGATGGAGGTAGCCGTGTCTTCTTGGCACAGTTCTGCTTCATCATCAAAGTCATCCAGGTTTCCAACATCCTGGCCTGGTGGCTGTATACTCATCAGACTAGCAATACTCTGCAGATCTTCATCTCTATCATAAAAAAACTCAATAAATTAACTCTGCTGGTCTTCATCTCTTTATCACACAATAACTCAATAACTTAGGGTTTTAATCTCTTTATCATAAAATAATTCAATAGAGAAACTGTAACAATATTCTACCTGACAACATAAATACTCTCGAACATTTGATCAAATTATCATAAACATACCTCTCACAGAAAAAAAGAATGTACAATTTACTAAAACTACAATACATATAGCCTGAAGATTGTAAAAAAGGTAGTACATTTCACAAAAACTAGAACTTAATCAGTCTAGAGATTCTAAGGATATCTTAAACTTCCACAACACCAGAACATAAACAGCCTAGAAATTATAAAGAGATCCTCCACTTCAATAAAACTAAAACATAAAAATAATTATTCTTGTCACGAAACATTAGTATTAGGCCTATGATATTTTTAAGCATAACATTCTTTATCTAGTTCCTTAGGGATTTTTCAGGAGACAGAATATTGTACAACAACAGTATTATAACCTACTATTTAACCGTGTCCATTGTCAAAGACACATTTTGCTCAATACAGAGCTCTTCAGGCCAGCTGAGATACAACAAACACAGTATTGGTCAGAATACTATTTATATAAGCCATTTGTTACAACAACAGTTATTATAGTGTGAACTCCTTTTACAAGCTGATAAAGCATGATATTATAATTAATCATACTTGTCAAGAGAAATTAGTATTAGGCTTATTATATTTCTAGCATTGATGTAAGTATGCTGATTCAGCCAATGCAGTGGCATTGGGGCCCAAACAGGAATACCAATAATAAAAATAAAAACATTGAAAATATATAAAAATTTATGTACCTGCATGAGATTTGGTTTTCAGCTTTGAAAAAAACTGCCAAAAGATGGCAAGGCAATGATAAGGGCTCACACCTGAAAGGGACCCTTTTCAAAATATATTTCTATATACTCTGCATGTGTGCGCGTAATATATTGAATCCAAGAACATTGCTCTTGCTGAGCATTTTGGATAAATGTATGACATTTGGTTTTTAAGTTTAAAAAAAACTGCCAAAAGATGGCAAGGCAATGATAAGGGCTCGCACCTGAAAGAGGTCCTTTTTAAAATATATATTTCTATATATTCTGCATGTGTGTGCGTAATATATCGAATCCAAGAACAATACTCTGGCTGAGCATTTTGGATAAAATGTGGTGTTACATTTGTTGATTTGACCCCTAGCTGTTAAAGGTCCTTGATCTATGATTGCAATGGGGCCAATGTTCTCTAGTTATGCCACTGATTTCTAGAAACTACATTATTTATCTAGTCCCTTAGAGTTTTCAAGAATTAGTGGGGATGGAATATTATTATTATACACTCTTCTTGTTGCTGCATTTTATGTCAAACAAAATAAACTTCTACAGCTATTCTACCATACAAATCTAAACACAGTATTGCTACAGTATTTTGTAGAACTCTAATCATTTTAGAAATTAAAAATGATTTTATCTGTTCACAAGCTCTAGTGATAGCCACAAAAATATCAAGCATGTACACTTGCACAAATATATGTATCACTTCAAAAAAGTAAGAAAAATGACTAAACTAAGAAATTCTACTATAACAATTAATTATGTTTATTTGTTATTTACAAATGTGGATAAATATAGTTCAATAAATTGCAATTAGGAAAATGACCCTTTTGTACAGGTGTCAGAAAGAAAATTATAATCCTCAAGTGTATGAATGTCTGGCCTAGTGACATATAATTCCACAAATGGAGTTTTTTTTATACTAAATTACACAAACTGACATACAACAGGAAACTTTGATCTATATAAATGATTAATAAACTTTACAATCAGCAACAGTAAGATAGTACATATGCTGAAGATAGCTTTGCAATCAGTAACATTACATATGCTGAAGATAGCTTTACAATCAGCAACAGTAAGATAGTACATATGCTGAAGATAGCTTTGCAATCAGTAACATTACATATGCTGAAGATAGCTTTACAATCAGTAACAGTAAGATAGTACATAAGCTGGAGGTTTGCTTTACAATCAGTAACATTACATATGCTGAAGATAGCTTTACAATCAATAACAGTACATATGGTGAAAATAACTTTACAATCAGTAACAGTAAGATAGTACATAAGCTGGAGGTTTGCTTTACAATCAGTAACATTACATATGCTGAAGATAGCTTTACAATCAGTAACAGTACATATGGTGAAAATAACTTTACAATCAGTAACAGTAAGATAGTACATAAGCTGGAGGTTTGCTTTACAGTTAAAATCAAATACTATTCAACTGTATTATAGATAAAAGTGAGACAAATTTCATGAAAATTGCCAGAGGTAACAAGAAGAAGAATCATTTACAAGATTTGTTAATTTGTATAATGAGTACATAAATGTACTTATTGCACAATAAACAAACCCTGAACCATCCAATTTAATTTTGTGCTAACAAACAGTTTGGTAGGTGCTGCTATCTGTTAACTTACCATGATGATAAATATTATGAGCACAAAACTAAAATAACATTTGTTGAAGACTATCTACAATCATAGATGCTAAGTTGACTACGAGTGCAGGAGATTGAAAAGGTAAGTCACTGGACATAAACATAATATTAATGAAATTGAAAACTGTGTAAATACAATAAGTCTGCTTATTTCCATATTTTCTGTAAGTGCAGTTGCTAAATGTTTCTTCAAATAGTCAAATGAAAGGTCCTAAATATAGCTATAAACAAAATAGAAAACATTTTATGACTTATATCTTTTATCTCTACTTACGTTGCTTTTCCCTCTTTCAAAAAAACACAGGACAGAGTTAAACTTAAATGTGCTCCTGTCACTTTCTTGGAGAGAGGTTTAAACTTCAGTTTCACTTCTGACTGAGAAGAAGCCATGCTTGTATAATACCTGAGATTAATGTTTGCTGAAGCAACTTGTCGTCGCTTCCCTGTTCTGGATATCTGAAATTCAGTCATCAGGATTACTATAGGAATAAACTCAAACTATAACTGCATCTTGTTCAATACACAAGAAGTATTACAAAAACAAAAGCTTTTTTTTAAGTCAAGATAAGATGAAAACATCAGTTAAGGATGAGCAAAATCTTTATCTGAACATTCAATGACAGCATGAAACAAGTTGTTGTTTTTAGTGCAAAGCTACACAATGGGCTATTTGCACTCTGTCCACCTTGGGAAATTGAACCCTGGATCTTAAATCTGGAAACATACCATTGAATTATAAGGGGATATCATGAAACAACTTCCTTAACTCTTTATCTTTTAATTCCTTAAGAAAACTTAAGTCTTTCCAAGCTTTGCCAATACAATTATCAGAGTCTTTAGATCCATAACAGCAATGTCTCAACACACCATCTGTTATATGATACAAATAGTTAAGCGAGTATACATTTGTTAAACATGGCTCAGTAGTCTTACAAATGATTAAATTAGGGGTTGCCTTAGACAGGTGAGGGGTATCGTGAAAAGTTAAAAACACAGACTGAAAATAGTGAATTCAATAAATGATTTTCATAACTCACCTGTCAACTCACTGCTCCCTTTGTGAATCTGATAAGAGTATATTTTTACAAAGGCCTCAAAATAAAATACCTCATAATATGTAAGGCTTCAAATTTAGTTCAATATATAAAAGGACATAAAACAAAAGCCTTGTGATAATTATGATTAATACACATCTGAAGTTTGTCTAGATCAATGGTTCTTAACCTTTTTTGCTCCATGCCCCACCTCAACACCTCAAAACATTTGATGCCCCCTTAATATAAAAACAAATTTGGTGTTGAAAAGGTATAATAATATAATGTAAACTTTAGAAATTTGGTTTTGAGTCACAGAACGTTTTTTGCTCTTCACACCCAAATGAAAAATTATTCTTATTGTAGCATTTTCAAATTGCCCCCCCCAATATATTCAAATTGTTCCCCTGTGTGGTATGCACCACACATTCAGAATCACTGGTCTAGATGGTACAGTATTAAACTATAAACATTGATCTTGATGCAGTTACACTTCAAACAGTTGCTTACGGCCACCCCTGATTCATATCTCTTTATCTCAGTACTTTCAATTTAAAAACAACTATTTCAATAATGAGTGTGAAAAAAGTTAACACCCTTACAAAATGAATTACAGTAAAACCATTCTAATACTACAGTATCACTTGGGAATAACATTATTACTAAACACAACTTTTTAAAATTAAATTATGTTAAAATTATACATATATTGTTTTGAAATGTCTTTTACTCACACAGTAATCCTATATTTATAAAGGAATTTAAAAAATAAATATAAGTATACTGTTCAAATAAAAGACATTTTAAAACACCATTCACATACATATTATATACTTCACAACTGTATTAGGCCTAGTCTTATTCTTTCAATTTGTCTTTATTCAGGGTTACTGATGAGGGGTGGAATTCCCAGGAAACACTATAACGCAGTGACAAGTGGTAAACTGAATGATAGATTGGGCTTCACATTTATTCTTTAGTATGATAAATTTAGTTGTGATGTATATGTATTTATGAAAAAAAAAAAAGAGTTAACTGACTTTTATAAAACCTATTTGCACATAGTGTCATGTTGCAGGATGATATAAAGTTAGTTTCAATGGACTAGCACAATGTAGTTAAAATTAGTTGTGATATATACGTATTTAAGGGAAAAAAGATGAGTTAACTGACTTCTACCTTAAACAAATCTATCAGCACATAGTGTCATGTTGTAGAATATAAAGTACATTTCAATAGACTAGCAGCACATAGTGTCATGTTCTAGAATATAAAGTACATTTCAATAGACTAGCAGCACATAGTGTCATGTTCTAGAATATAAAGTACATTTCAATAGACTAGCAGCACATAGTGTCATGTTCTAGAATATAAAGTACATTTCAATAGACTAGC